ACGGGAGAAAGATGAGGCTTTCTGCTCCCATAAAGATTTACAGCCTCAGAAACCCTGTACAGGGTCACTATGGGTCGGAACCGACTCAATGGCACTTAACAACAACATAGACATTTAGGTAGTCAAACAGGAGACAGAATAGTCCTGGATACCGTAGGATAGATGAGAACTGTATACTCCAAAGCCAGCTCCAAGCTTCTTTGAACCCGTGGGGGAAGGAGCAGCATTGCTCATCCCTGAGCTTCTTGAGGACTTGCAGATGGTTCCCCTTCTAAATACTAATTATAGCCTTGAAGCAACTCTATTTCATCTAAAACTTCCCATTATTGTTTCACTGCACTCTCCTGTATTATATTCGAAAGAATTCTGTAAGTACGTTCCATTATCATCCTTATTTTATAGATGAACTAATAGAGGCCCAGAGAGGGTAAACAACTAAACTAGGGATCCACAGCAGGTAAATGGCAGAGCATGCCATTTTCCCTCAGTGAACATCTGGGGATCTGTTCCACAGGCTTTCTTCTCCTTGCAGAGCCGAATCTTCCTTTTCTCATGCTCTTCTCTGAGCTGCTTGTGCCAAACAGGTCTGGTGCTATTTTTCAGGGATGACACACCTCATGTGCCCAATGAGATGCTGGGAGAAGAGGCTGTGCTGGGAATTGTGGAACGCCTGACCAAGCTCATACGAGAGGTCTTTCCAGGTAAGATTCTACCATCAGACCACCCACAGCGTTCCCTGGTCCCAGGTGGGTCCTGGAACAGTTGGGAGACAGGAGCAGCAAGATCAAGAGTAAGGCCCTTCATCAAGGCCCTTATCAAGAGTAAGACACCTACTGACATCCTGTTGTCAGCCAGGTTCTATGCCAGCACTTCACAACCATCATTTTCACCCTCCAACAACCCTGCAAGGAGTGTGCAATCTTCCGGTGTGTGGGCACACAGTCACATGAATGATGAAACCTGACATTCACTGAGTTTTGTCCCTACCTGTTTAACAACAGACTCACAGTCCCTTCTCAAAAGTGTCTACAGTTTTACCCAGGTGTCATCTCTTGGGTTAAATCTTACAAGGGTGTGCACACAGTCCTTGAGTGCTGCTCTGGCCCCAGAAGAGGCATCCACCACCCTCAAACAATCCCCCTGCTGGGGCTTCTGGGAGATGCTCATTGCTAGCCAAGGTGCTGTTTCTTAGTGCTTCCAAGACCTGCAGAGTCTAGCAGAGTAGGCAGGGCCTGAGAGTAGGAGACAGCAGCCAGACAGAGCACAGCTGGGAGAATGGGGTCTGCATTCTCCACCTAACAGCACTAAACGTATTTTTAAACAGGTTTTGCCAAACATAAGGCCCTAGGGGCGAATCAGGCTCACAGGGTGCCAGCAAGAGAACCTCTGTCCACTTACAGCCCCCCTTCAGGTTCTGGTTATGGAGTCATAAAATACAAATATAAGCAGTAGCAATAACTGGAGGTATTGAGTGCTCAGTGGCATGTAGAGCTGTAAGAATTTTATATTCATTGTCATGAGGATCCTAGAGAAAAGTGCTATTGTTGTCAAGTACCACTGAATAGGTTCCAACTCACAGAGACCCCGTATAGGGTTTCCAAGGGGCAGCTGGTAAGTTTGAAATGCCAACCTTGCGGTTCAAACCTACCTTGCAGTCTAGCGCATAATCCTGCAGCGCCATACCTGCCCCAGTTTTACTGAGGAGTGTAAGCCTGGGGATCAAGCAAAGTGCTCAGGGTCATATGACAAGGGTGGGGAATTAAAGATGGTGATTATCCATCCCTCCACTGCTTTCTCACATCCTGGAAGGACCCTTCTCTCCACCTCCTTCCCTCAATGTAAAATTAGTATAAAGAGAAGCCTGGATGCTACCTGCCTACCTAATCCCCAACTCAACCCAGACATGCCTGGGCTTGTTCACCTTCAAACAGAGGTAACCAAAATCCAAAAACCCATTGCTGTTAAATTGATTGAGATCATGTGTCACAGAATGGTTTTTATTGTGAATTGAGTGATAGTTTGCATGGGGGAACATTGGTTTTACACTCATCATTTCACTGCAATGATTACAATCCCCTCCTTGCGTCACCATTCAACAGTATTTGCTTCTGTTCCCTCTGGTTTTTTTTTTTTTTTTTTTTTTTGGGGGGGGGGGAGGTATACACAAAAACACTCAGGAATATATAATCATTTAATCATTAAAAACACTCAGGAATATATAATCATTTAAATAGCCAAAGGGTACATTCTGCAAGCCTACCTCCTAGCCCCCAGCACCTGGCTGCCAGCACACAGCCTTTCTCTTTCCATGAGTCTAGATTCTTCAGCTGCTCTCTCTCTCCATGTCCCCATCTCTGCTTCCATCTCTGGTGTTGCTACTTCTCTGGAGAGGGTCCCACATTCAACTAGTGCTATTCTCTCTTGATGGTCCTAGGGTCCACTGTTCCTAGACTGTTAAGATTAGCTACTCCACCCATTTTGTTACAAAACTTCTACCTTTACAGTTGTGACAGTTTTATGATAATTACTTACTATTGAATCCTAAGAATCTTATCCCCATCTCCTTTCACCAGACCTGTCTAGACAAGATGAAAACTATTCAGTGGGGATTCTACCTCCCTCCTCCCCCCATACTCTGAAACTAAAATTCCTCTTGAAACCTTGTAAGCCAGTCACTTCCTGCCTTTATTGCCCCCTTATTTTAGGTATCCAATGTTTAAGTTGACCATCCCTATTAACCCTATATACAGAGGGGATAGGATTGATACTTGATGTGAAGACTCCTTCTGCCGGGGTCTGGCCTCGACATAGTTGTCACGAGTTTTTGGTTCACGAGGAGGGGAGATCCAGCGGCGATAGGGATAGCGAAAGAATACACAGACAAACAGAAGAAGGGAGACAATGAGACACCCCAAAGCCAGGGTGGATACATCACTGGTGGGCAAGCTTGGGACTACAGGCATCATGGCCTCTGCAGGCAGCGACTCACTGCCCTGCAATCTTTAATGCATGCCTTCCAACCCGTAATGCACCGCAATCTTTACTCCATGCCTTCCAACCAGTAATGCACGCCTGGGGAGGCTCGGGCCTCTGTTTTATTTAGGGGAGGAGTTTCACACCAAGCTGGGAGGGACTAAAACAGGATACAGCTAACATCAGTAATTTTCCAGACATTCAGGTAACTTTACATTGTACTTCACTGGTTCGAATCCCAGGCCAGCAACTTGGATTCTCAGGCCCAATTAACATATCTATAGCCCCTGAGGTCAGTTGGGGGAAGGTGAGAGTTCTGCAGGAGACGCCCAGGTGAATGGGCTGCACCTGGAAAAGGGATTAGGGAGGATGGGTTCTTTGTCTATAGAACAAAGAACCGAGAAGTAGCTAAGATATTTTTAGTTAATCCTTTGGAGAAAGGTTTAACCTTGCAACCTTTAGTCTCGGCTTTAGGAAAATATCACATTTATCTGTGGATTTTCAAAGGCTCCAGTGTATTAATTTAATATATATACCTGAATATTAAGATGAAAGCAATTTTCCATTAACTGCCAGTGGCCTCATTTGTTACACTCAGCCCTAGAGGGCCTCGAACCTCTGACTAGTCTTACACGGTCTGCAACATCCTTCCCTCTCAGTTGGTATTTTGAGCTACTACATCCTTAAGTATAGGTCAAGTTCATCAAATTGTAGCCAATCACACCTGTTTCATCAAAAAGACTTTTTTTTTTTTAAATCTTTCTCTAGTCAAGTTCTTATCATTAAGCCATTGAAGCTAAGTCGAATGGGTACTATGTACAAATTTGGGTGCTCTTGTGTGACTCCCCTTACTTCAGATCAGCTGGATGCTTCACTCTCAGCTCTAGCCCACTGTGGCTATGTTCTTGTCCAGTCTCAGTACATTTTGGAACAACCAGCCCTTCCTCTTTCCTCTCTCATCTCTAGGTTGCTGGGAGTCTAGAACATGGTTGAACTCATTGGCTGTAGTCTTTATAGATTTCCAGGCCTTTCTTCTGCCATGCCACTGGGTGATTTCAAGTCGCCAACCTTTAGATTAAGACAAGTACCAACGGTTTTTACTACCCAGGGGCTTCCAGAGGTTACTGTTCTGCTGTTAGGTGCTGTCAAGTTGTGAGATACAATGCACAGCAACCCAGTGCACAACAGAACAAAACACAATTGCTGCTGCCAGTGTACCAATCTATCTCTTTGGAGGTCTTCTTCTTTTTTGCTGACCCTCCACTTTACCAAGCAAGATGTCCTTCTCCAGAGACTGGTCCCTCCTGATAACATGTCCAAAGTAAGAGAGACTAAGTCTCATCATGCTAACTTCTAAGGCAGTGTTTTGCTGCACTTCTTCCAAGACAGATTTGTTTGTTTTCTGGCAGTCAATGGTACTTTTAATATTCTTCTCCAACACCATACTTAAATGCATCCATTCTTCTCCAGTCTTCCTTATTCACTGTCCAAGTCTCACCTGCATATGAGGCAACTGAAAATACCATGGCTTGGGTCAAGCACACCTTAGTCCTCAAAGTGACTTTAGAGTTAGTTCTTTTGCAGCCAGGTACATAGCAGCAGTTTTAAAAAAAGGTGGGGGAGAGGGTAGCAATTTCTTCCCTTCTCATATAATCTGGGGATTCCATGGAGTTTTTTTTAGGATCCGCGTGCTTTCAGCTGTCAGCATTTACTTTAGAGAGGTGAGGTTTTTTTCTTGGCAGTCACAGTGATAGCTTCTAGGGTGGCAAACAACTCCTGAAGGGTATTCTCTGACTTCCTCTTTGGATAGGACTCTCTGGTAGCATAGCGGTTAGGAATCGGGCTGCTAACCTCAAGGTCAGCCGTTCGAAACTACCAGCTCTTCTGCAGGAGAAAGATGAAGCGGTCTGCTTCTGTAAAGATTTACAGCCTCAGAAAACCTATGTAGGGTCACTATGAGTTGGAACCGACTCCACGGTACTCAACAACAACTCAATATTTCCAGATCTTGCAGGCTATAGAAAGGGGCTTCAAAAAGTTCATGGAAAAATGGAATTAGAAGACAGTAGAATTTTTCCATGAACTTTTTGGCAAAGAGTTTGTTAGAAACATTTCCCAAACCAGCGAATTGGAGGCTTCAGCCTCCTAGACCGGCTTTAGGTCACTACCTGAGGTGGACCCTGCTCTGAGCTCAAGAGTTGTTTTTTTTCTTCTTTTTTGAAACTCTTATGAATTGAGAGAAAGTTTACAAAGCAGATCATCAATTTTATATACAACAAATCATGTATTTTGCTTCATTACTACTATGTGCCAGGCACAGAATGTAAATGAAAGTAGAAATGAGGCTGCTCCTGAGGAATAATTCTGATAGACTCCCCTCCCCTCCAGGTCTTATTCACAAGCCACTTCCTCAGAGAGGCCTCCCCTGCTCCCCCACCTCCATACATTCCCACAGCAACCAGCCCTTCCCTTTTTGTGACAACCATCACATATCTAATTACTCATTGCCTGTCAACACTACTGCACCTTCAGGCTTCTGGGACTGGGTACCTGGTTCCCAGTTCTATGACTGGCACATAATAGGTGCTCAATAAATAATTTCTTGAATGTATGTTGTTGTTATGTGCCGTCGAGTCGGCTCCGACACATAGCGACCCTATACAGGGTTTCCGAGGGTGTAAATCTTTACGGGAGTAGAAAGCCTCATCTTTCTCCCGCAGAGCAGCTGGTAGTTTCAAACCGCTGACCTTAAGGTTCGCAGCCCAATTCGTAACAACTACGCTACCAGAGCTCCTTCAATGTATAAATGAGTTAAACTCTTAAGGTCTCCCAGAGGTGAAACCGATCCTGTCTCTAAAAGTGAGATTAATCTGGAATTGACAAGAACAAGGTACACCAAATCACCAAGTATTTGATAACGGATCTGAAGATTACTTAGACCTTTTAGTTTCAGCCTCAGAAGATGAGGCGGCCTGCTCCTGTAAAGATCTCAGCTACCCTAGGGAGCAGTTCTACTGTTCTAAAGGGTTGCTATGTGTCTGAATCAGCTGGATAGCAGTGCATTAGTTTCAACTCCCCCCCCCACACACACACACAACACACACATCTGTCAGTTTGTAGTACTGTACTGGATTGCATATTGTTGTGATGCTGAAAACTTTGCCACTAGCATTTCAATCCTGGTAGGCAGGTTTCAGCGATGCTTCCAGACTAAGACAGACTAGGAAGAAAGGCATGGCAATCTGTTCCTGAAAATTAGCCAATAAAACCCCTCTGGATCACAACAGAATTTTAGTTGGTATTTTGCTGGAAGATGACTCCCCAAGGACAAACAGCATCCAAAATGCACAGTGGCTAAAACAACGGAACTTAGCATGCCAGCAATTGTGAAGATGGCCACGAACAGGTAACATTTTACTCTAGTGTACACGGTGCTGCCATGAGTTGGAGCTGGCTCAACAACAACTAATAATAAAAGTTTTCTTCTTCTCATCAGCCGGGACTTCCTTTTTCTGCCAGGAATGGGATTAGGGACAGAGTTCAGGGAACTTCACTGTCCTTGCTTCTGAGATCTGAGCCAACTTCAGCCAGATTCCATCAAGTGTGGTTTTTGCTTATCTCTGTATTTTCCTCATCTATGCTATCGCTCTTCCCCATTAGCGCTGATGGCTGGTGGCTGACGGAAAATTACTAACTCTGCCAAATGCCTAAGTATACATATACGTTTTTGTTGTTTAGTGGCTTTGAGTTGGTTCCAACTCATAGTGACCCTGTATAGGATTTCCAAGGAGTGGCTGCTGAGTTTGAACCACCAGCCAACCTTGTTGTTCACACCAACCTTGCGGTCCAGTGCTTTATCCCACAGCGCCACACCTCAACATATAATATATATATATGTGCCATAGAATCAGTTCTTACTCATGGCAATCCTCTATAGGGTTTCCAAGGCTGGTGGGTTTGAACCACAAACCTTGTGATTAGCAGTCCAGTGCTGATCCTTATGTGCCATCAAGTCAGTTCTGATCCATAGCGACCCTGTATAGGGTTTCCAACAAGCTGCTGGTATGGCACTGCAGGGTAAGTACTTGACTGAAAGGTCAGTTTGAACACAAGGTGGGTGGTTCAAACTCACCAGCCGCTCCTCAGAAATCCTATACAGGGTTGCTACCGACTCAACGGTACTTAATAACAACAGCATATACATATTTAAGTTAAAAAATTTTTTTTTAAATTGTGAATTGAGTTCAGGATTACAGAGCACATCATCTATTTTACATTCAACAAAAAATCGTGCACTTTGTTTCATTATAATGATTGCAAACCCCTCTATGTATCATCAGTTAACAGTGTTTACCTGTAGTCACTTTTTTTTTTTTTTCAATTTTCCCTTCCCTTCCCTCCCTGGTAACCATCATAGGGTATTTCTTTTAGCAAGAAAATCTTTCCTTAACTTTTTGCAACAGTGGTCTCATACAATATTTGTCCTTTTGTGATTGACTAATTTTACTCAGCATAATGTCCTCCAGGTTCATCCATGTTATAAGGAGTTTGGCAGATTCAGCATTCTTCATATCATTCTATGATATATACCAAGTAAATGGATTAAAGCATATATATATACATAATGTTTTATATTGTGAATTATGTGAGTTTACATAGGAGAACATTAACTTTACATTCATTTTATCGTGTATCATTTCATTGCCATGGTTACAATCCCCCCCATGCATCATCAACCAACCATAGAGTATACCCTGCAAGCCTGCCCCCCGGTCGTTAGCACACAGCCCCTCTCCCTCTCTGGGTCTAAAGTCCCCAGACGCTCCATCTCTCCACACCATCGTCTCTGCCTCCATCACCGGTGTCACTGCTTCTCTGGGTAGGGTCCCGCATACCGCTCTTCTCACTTGATGGTCCCAGGGACCTCCACTCCTAGACTGCAAAGTCAATCATTCCCCTCCTTTTGCTACAAAATGTCTACCTTTACATTTCCAACCCTCACAGTCAGTCCTGATAGTAATAATTCACTATTATGCCACATGAGTGCCATCCTCATCTCCTTTCATCAGCCCCACCCAGACAGATTGAATACTACTCAGTGGAGATTCTACCTTCCTCCACGTCCTCTGGTTCTAAGCTCCCTCTTTTTTTTCTTTTCTTAAATGTTTTATTGTGAATTATGTGATAGTTTACATGGGAGAACATTAGTTTTACATTCATTCTATCGTATATAT